AAAAAATATTTTTTTTAATTAATATAAACTGACCACATTAATAAATCTTCTTGGCCCCCGAAATGTTTGGTGAAGAAAATATGGCCCGCCGGCTATCATAAGTTGGACAGCGCTGCTATATACCATTACATAATTGGGGTTTTCAGCATTTTTTTTTTTTTAGAAAACATTCGTCAAACCGTACGTAAAATATTAGGGAACAATTATTATAAAACGATGAATTGTAATAAAATAAGCTGACAGTTAATAAATTTTTTATTCGTAAATAAATACAAAAGTTAGTAGACGTTCAAATAATTTTTTATTTGACGCCACTGTATTTCTGTTAAATAGTAAGTAATCAAAATTACTTTTCGCTCTAGCGAATAGTTTTTGATATTTATTTAGAAATAAACTATATGAAAAATAAAACATAATCGCGCAATAGCTTTATTGAGAATAACAAACTTACAAAAGCAAATTAAAGCCATGTTAATGTGGAAAAATTGAAAACAAAACCATTACCTCATAAAATATCGTATAAATTGAAAAGCATGGAAAATACGGGGTAGTTTTAAATGCAGTCTTAAAAAATAAGGATAATTTATTATATTATTTAGTAATAACTGGTAAGTAATATTTATGTGATTTTGTGTCTCTGGTATGTTTAAAGGGAGCCTTGGGGGTGTCTATTAAGGTTGCAGGACATGGAATCTTTTGACGCGGTTGATATTCGTTTTTATACGATGTTAAAATTGTAACATTGCTTTCTCCAAGATTTATATTTGAAACGTTCGATCTACGGGTGATTCTTTCTACTTTTTGAATATTTTGCTGTTTTGTGAAATTGCCGTATGATCGTGCTTCCGACTGACCATAAAATTGTCCGCCAATCGATAAATTGTCCTTTCTCACTATCTTCTGTGCTCTTTCGTACGGTTCGTGGTGCGTAGATGACCATTGCGACCCCCTCTTATCGTGAACGTTACACTTGTGGGTCTCTTGGTGCAAGTGGTGCTTTTGACTTTCTTGAATGTTTGATCTGTGAATTGAACTCAAACTGCGCCTGTCAGTTTGAGTGTTATTAATATAATGACTTTGATCGTTAAGGGTGTTGATTGACTTCCTCATTGCCAGAGCAGCCGAACTGCTTACATGAAGAGCTTCTGTTGACGAGTGAATGCCCTTGCGGTGCAACACTTGATTTCCAATATCGGCTTCGGTTTGCAAGACGTTTCGTCTATGATGACTTTCCGTTTTGATGCCGTGAGCTTCTTGTTTTGATACAATGCGTTTTTCACTCGATGATCTTACAACTTGCCCTGACACCTGTTGATCTCTTGTCTCAATTACATTGTTAACCACGTGTTTTGCGTGTTCTGTTTTTTGTTGTTGTTGCTGTACTTGGTTTATGTTTGTTTGTGAGGACGACATTTGAATTTCTCGTACTTCTTGAGACGACGTATCCTTCTTCACCTGTTGCATTTGCACTTTGTTTACTTCATTTATTGCCCTTTGTTTTGAGTCGGAAACGTCTGTTCCAGATCTTCTCGTGTAAGTGTTGTAATTGATTTCGTTGGTGGTTTTCATTACAGCTTTGTCATCTCCCAATGTAATGTGTGATTCCGTGTGACGATTTCTGTCGAATGAGAGACGAGCTCGTACATTTTGCAAAGCTTCTTTCTGAGTGGCTTCGTATGCTTTCTTACTTGTTGTTGTGTATTGAGATTTTTCAACCGAAGAATCGCGGAAATCGGAGATTCTTAAGTTGTCTTGTGGCTTTTTCACTGGCATTCGTTCAGCCTGTACGGGTTTAAAATCATCTTTGCTTCTGGGCGAACCCATAAATTCTCCTTCTGGTTTAAGGTTGTCTTGGTGTCGGACAACTGGTGCACGTTCTCCTGGACCTATAGGGCTCTTGGCTGGTCTTTCAAAGTTGCCTTCTGGTTTTAAATTATCTACCGGTTTTTTAGGCTTTTGTCGCTCTGCCGGACTGAAGCCAGGCTTATGGGGACGATCAAATTCACCTTCAGGAAATAGATTATCAGGATGTCTTATTGGTGTTCTTCGTTCTCCTGGTCCCAATTTAGTTGAGCTTGGTCTTTCGAAACCACCTTCGGGTTTTAAATTATCTTTAGGTTTTGTAGGCGAACGGCGCTCTGATGGGCTAAATTTAGATTTTTCTGGACGAACAAAGTCTCCTTCCGGATGTAAATTATCAGGTTGCTTAATAGGAATACTTCTTTCTCCTGGAACGTACTTAGGAGAATCATATTTTTCAAATTCTCCTTCAGGTTTTAAGTTATCTTTTGGTTTAACCGGTGATGGCCTTTCGGCTGGTGTGAATTGTGGTTTATGGGGCCTTTCAAATGATCCTTCTGGTTTTAAATTGTCGCTATGTTTAATTGGTTTTGACCGTTCACCAGGAGTTAATTCAGATGGTTTAGGTATTTCTATTTTTCCTTCAAGTTTCAGGTTATCTGCATGTCGAACTTGTGATGTTCGTTCTGTAACTGTTGTCGAAAATTCATCGCGCTTTCTGTATTCGGTAAATTCGCCCTCAACCTTAAGATTATCTTCCCTGATTACTATTTTAGATCTATCTCCTTTAACAACATGGTAATCGTCTCTTGTTCTATGATCAATGAATTCACCTTCGGGTTTAAGATTATCTTCTGGTTTTCTCACTTCGTATCTTTCACCCTTCACAATCTTATAATCATCTCGAGAACGAATATCTGTAAATTCGCCTTCCACTTTAAGATTATCTTCTCTAATTACGATTTCTGATCGATCACCTTTAACAACGTGGTAATCATCTCTAGTTCTTTGATCATTAAACTGTCCTTCGGGCTTAAGGTTATCTTCTGGTTTTTTTATATCAAATCTTTCGCCTCTCACAACCTTGTAATCATCTCTAGAACGAATATCCGAAAATTCGCCCTCAATTTTTAAGTTGTCTTCATGTTTAGTAATTTGAACTCTATCAGTAATAGAAGTCACACTTGCAAGTTCGTCTTTACGTCGGATTTCAACTGTTCCTTCTAGGTGCAGATTATCTTCATGCTTAATAGGAGTTCTCTTTTCAGCTGGAGTTACCGTTTTCGGAGAAGGTCTTTCGAATTCACCTTCAGGCTTTAAATTATCTTCTGGACGCTTTTGTTGAAGTCGTTCTGCTGGAATGTATGCTGGTTTTTGAGGTACATCAATCTTTCCTTCAGGATGAAGATTATCTTCATGTTTAATTGGTGTTCTCCGTTCAGCAGGACCAAATTTAGTAGGTGTTGGTCTTTCAAATTCTCCTTCGGGACGTAGATTATCTTCTGGACGTTTTTGTTTGGGTCTTTCAGCTGGAATAAACCCTGGTTTTTCCGGGCGTTCAAATTCACCTTCAGGATGAAGATTGTCTTCATGTTTGATAGGTGTTCTACGTTCGGCAGGGCCGACTTTGGTAGGTGTTGGTCTTTCAAATTCCCCTTCAGGTTTAAGATTATCTTCAGGGCGCTTTTGTGTAGGTCTTTCTGTTGGAAAATAGCCAGGCTTTTCCGGTCGTTCGAACTCGCCTTCAGGATATAGATTATCGATTGGTTTTTTGGGTGTCGGTCTCTCAACAGGTACAAACTGTGGTTTGTCAGGAATTTGAAACTCACCTTCTGGATGAAGATTGTCTTCGTGTTTAATTGGTGTTCTACGTTCAGCAGGTCCAATTTTAGTTGGCGTTGGTCTCTCAAATTCTCCTTCGGGACGAAGATTGTCTTCTGGACGTTTTTGTCTGGGTCTTTCAGCTGGAATAAACCCTGGTTTTTCCGGGCGTTCAAATTCACCTTCAGGATGAAGATTGTCTTCATGTTTGATAGGTGTTCTACGTTCGGCAGGGCCGACTTTGGTAGGTGTTGGTCTTTCAAATTCCCCTTCAGGTTTAAGATTATCTTCAGGGCGCTTTTGTGTAGGTCTTTCTGTTGGAAAATAGCCAGGCTTTTCCGGTCGTTCGAACTCGCCTTCAGGATATAGATTATCGATTGGTTTTTTGGGCGTCGGTCTCTCAACTGGTACAAACTGCGGTTTGTCAGGAATTTGAATATCACCTTCGGGATGAAGATTGTCTTCATGTTTAATTGGTGTTCTACGCTCGGCAGGTCCAACTTTAGTTGGCGTTGGCCTCTCGAATTCTCCTTCGGGACGAAGATTGTCTTCTGGACGTTTTTGTTTTGGTCTTTCAGCTGGAATAAATCCTGGTTTCTCTGGACGCTCAAATTCTCCTTCAGGATACAGATTATCTAGTGGTTTTGTAGGAGTTGGTCTTTCAGTCGGTATAAATCTAGGTTTCTCGGGAACCTGAAATTCTCCTTCAGGGTACAAATTGTCCTGATGTTTAATTGGTGTTCTTCGTTCAGCAGGTCCAACTTTTGTAGGTGTAGGTCTTTCAAACTCACCCTCAGGTCGAAGATTATCTTCCGGACGTTTTTGTTTAGGTCTTTCTGCAGGAATGTATCCTGGCTTTTCAGGTCGTTCAAATTCACCTTCCGGATGTAGGTTATCAGTTGGCTTTTTAGGTGCTGGTCTTTCAGCCGGTGTGTACTGAGGTTTTTCAGGCACTTCAAATTCTCCTTCAGGACGTAAATTATCCACATGCTTAATCGGTATCCTGCGTTCAGCAGGACCTACTACAGTTGGTGATGGGCGTTCAAATTCACCCTCAGGTCGAAGATTATCTTCTGGACGTTTTTGTTTAGGTCTTTCTGCAGGAATGTATCCCTGTTTTTCAGGTCGTTCAAATTCTCCTTCGGGATGTAGATTATCGGAAGGTTTTGTGGGTGTTGGCCTTTCAGCTGGTATGTATTGAGGTTTTTCAGGCACTTCAAATTCCCCTTCAGGACGTAAATTGTCTTTATGCTTAATTGGTGTCCTACGTTGAGCAGGGCCTACGAATGTTGGCGATGGACGTTCGAATTCACCTTCTGGACGGAGATTATCTTCTGGACGCTTTTGTTTAGGTCTTTCCGCTGGAATATATTCAGGTTTTTCAGGTCGTTCAAATTTCCCTTCAGGATGAAGATTATCAGTTGGCTTTTTAGGCGTGGGTCGTTCAGCTGGTCTAAATTGTGGTTTCTCCGGCACCTCAATGTCTCCTTCAGGACGTAGATTATCTTCATGTTTTATTGGCTTTCTTCGTTCAGCAGAGACAACTTTAGTAGGAGAAGGTCTTTCAAAATCGCCCTCGGGACGCAGATTATCTTCTGGTCGTCTCTGTTTAGGCCTCTCTGCGGGTATGTATCCAGGTTTCTCTGGACGTACAAATTCCCCTTCAGGTTGTAAATTATCAGTTGGTCTCTTGGGTTTAGGTCTTTCGGCTGGTGTGTATTGAGGCTTTTCTGGAACTTCAAAATCTCCTTCTGGGTGAAGGTTATCTTCATGTTTAATCGGTGTTCGTCGTTCAGCAGGGCCAACTTTTGTAGGAGAAGGCCTCTCAAATTCACCTTCTGGTCGTAGATTGTCTTCAGGGCGTTTTTGCTTAGGTCTTTCGGCAGGAACATATCCTGATTTTTCTGGACGTTCAAATTCACCTTCAGGATACAAATTGTCTGTTGGTTTTTTTGCGATTGGTCGTTCTGCTGGTCTGAATTTAGGTTTTTCTGGAACTTCCAATTCTCCTTCAGGTCTAAGATTATCTTTGTGTTTAATTGGTGTTCTACGTTCAGCAGGTCCAACTTTTGTAGGTGTAGGTCTTTCAAACTCTCCTTCAGGACGAAGATTGTCTTCTGGCCGTTTTTGTTTGGGTCTTTCAGCTGGAGTAAATTCTGGTTTTTCCGGACGTTCAAATTCACCCTCAGGATATAGGTTATCTGTTGGTTTTGTCGGGGTAGGTCGTTCAGCTGGTCTATACTTTGGTTTTTCAGGAATATCTATTTCACCTTCTGGACGAAGATTGTCGTGGTGTTTTATTGGTGTTCTACGTTCTGCTGGTTGAACTATAGTAGAAGTAGGTCTTTCAAACTCTCCTTCAGGCCGTAAATTATCTTCGGGGCGTTTTTGTTTGGGTCTTTCAGCGGGTAAGTAACCTGGTTTTTCAGGACGTTCGAATTCACCCTCAGGGTACAGATTATCAGTTGGCTTTTTAGGGGTAGGTCGTTCAGCTGATCTATATTTCGGTTTTTCTGGAATATCTATTTCACCTTCTGGACGAAGATTGTCATGGTGCTTTATCGGTGTTCTACGTTCAGCAGGTCCAATTTTAGTTGGCGTTGGTCTCTCAAATTCTCCTTCGGGCTTTAAATTATCTTCGGGACGTTTTTGTTTAGGTCTTTCAGTTGTAACATATCTCGGTTTTTCCGGACGTTCAAATTCACCCTCAGGATGAAGATTATCAGTAGGTTTTGTGGGCATTGGCCGTTCTGTTGGTCTATATTGAGGTTTCTCCGGTATTTCGAATTCACCTTCTGGTCGAAGGTTATCTTCATGTTTAATCGGAGTTCTACGTTCACCAGGTCGTACTTTTGTAGGAGTTGGTCGTTCAAATTCTCCTTCTGGTCGCAGATTATCTTCAGGACGTTTCTGTTTGGGCCTTTCGGCAGGAATATATCCTGGTTTTTCCGGACGTTCAAATTCACCTTCAGGATACAAATTATCTGTTGGTTTCTTTGGGGTTGGTCGTTCTGCCGGACTGAATTTGGGTTTTTGTGGAACTTCGAACTCTCCTTCAGGTCTTAGGTTATCTTCATGTTTAATCGGAGTTCTTCGTTCAGCTGGTCGAACTTTTGATGGAGTTGGTCTTTCGAAGTCCCCTTCTGGGCGAAGATTATCTTCCGGGCGCATCTGCCTGGGCCTTTCAGCAGGTATATATCCCGGTTTTTCCGGACGTTCAAATTCACCTTCAGGATATAAATTATCTGTTGGCTTCTTTGGGGTTGGTCGTTCTGCTGGCTTGAACGTTGGTTTTTCTGGAACTTCAAAGTCCCCTTCAGGTCTGAGATTGTCTTCGTGTTTAATTGGCGTTCTTCGTTCAGCAGGTCTAATTTTTGTAGGCGTTGGTCTTTCAAATTCACCTTCAGGCCGTAAATTATCTTCGGGGCGTTTTTGTTTAGGTCTTTCCGCTGGGACGAATTGCGGCTTTTCAGGACGTTCAAAATCACCTTCTGGATGTAGGTTATCTGTTGGTTTTTTGATTGTTGGTCGTTCTGCTGGCTTAAATTGAGGCTTTTCGGGTATTTCGAAATCACCTTCTGGTCGTAAATTGTCCTCCGGTTTCCTTTGTTTGGGTTTTTCAGCAGGTACAAATTTAGGTTTTTGAGGTATTTCAATTTCCCCTTCGGTATGTAAATTATCAATTGGCTTTATCTGTTTTGGACGTTCAGCTGGCTTAAATTGCGGTTTAATTTGTTTCTCAAATTCTCCTTCAGGACGTAAGTTGTCAATGGGCCTTTTCTGTTTAACTCGTTCTACAGATTTAGGAGTAAAATCTTCTTTAGATTTTGGAGTCAACTGTATTGTGCCTTCGGGTTTTAGATTGTCTTGATGGATAATAGCTGTTTGACGATGAATATCTTTATCAGTAAAGCTCCTGTATACGTTCTGCGTTGTGGTTACGTTTTCCGTATCTTGTTTAAGGTAGAATTTTTCAACGTCTTCTTTTGTCCACGTTCGACGACGGCGTAATGGTATTTCTGTTTCCTTTTCAGTATAGTCAATATGTGACGATGTGTCAAAAGTCATGCTTCCTTCTAAAGTCAAATTATCTTCACGTTTGTTTATCATTTGAACTCTTTCTTTGGATGTAAATTCCACGAAATCGGATCTGTTTGTTGTTTCAGACGTAAAATCACCTTCAACTTTAGTCCATGTGTTGCGTCTTATGGGACTTGTCCTATCAACTTGTTCGCCTAAGTAAGAAGTTTGAGTGGTTGTTTCGCCTGTAACAAAAATATAAGAAGACGTATGCCAAGAATTTTTATTTGTGTGTTAATTGTCAACATACCAATAAATTCTCCACCAATAGTGATGTTATCCACACGACGAACAACATCTGCCCGTTCGCCTTTTACGATCCTATAATCTTCTGTTAGTGTTGTAGTTGACGTAAAGTCTCCTTCTGGTCGCAAATTATCTTGAGGCTTTACAACGGGAGCTCGATCACCCGGTTTCCATTGTTCTGGTTGACGTTTCTCGAAACCTCCTTCGGGTTTTAAGTTATCCTGGGGCCGTTTAACTGGTGCTCTATCGCCAGGTTTCCATTCATGAGGTTGACGTTTTTCAAATTCTCCTTCTGGTTTTAAATTGTCTTGTGGTTTCTTAACAGGAGCTCTATCACCAGGTTTCCACTCTTCTGGTTGACGCTTTTCAAAATCGCCTTCTGGTTTAAGATTATCTTGAGGTTTCTTAACAGGAGATCTGTCACCTGGACGCCATTCTTCTGGTTTCCTCTTCTCGAATTCACCTTCGGGTTTCAGGTTGTCTTGAGGTTTTCTAATTGGAGCTCTTTCACCAGGTTTCCATTGTTCTGGTGAGCGCTTTTCAAAATCACCTTCAGGTTTAAGATTATCCTGAGGTTTTTTGACTGGTGCTCTATCACCGGGTCTCCATTGCTCTGGATGGCGTTTCTCAAAATCACCTTCAGGTCTTAGATTATCTTGGGGTTTTCTAATTGGAGCTCTATCACCTGGTTTCCATTCATCCGGATGGCGCTTTTCAAAATCACCTTCAGGTCTTAGATTATCCTGAGGTTTTTTAATTGGAACCCTGTCGCCAGGTCTCCATTCTTCTGGATGGGGTCTTTCAAACTCTCCTTCAGGTTTCAAATGGTCTTGGGGGCGTTTAACAGCTGCTCTGTCACCGGGCTTCCACTCATGCGGCTGTCGTTTCTCAAACTCTCCTTCTGGTCTTAGATTGTCTTTAGGTATTCTTACAGGAGCTCTTTCACCAGGCCTCCATTCTTCCGGTTGTCTTTTAACGAATTCGCCTTCTGGTTTTAGATGATCTTGAGGGATTATTACAGGAGCTCTTTCTCCCTTAGTTGCATTGTATTCATCTTTCGGTTTTCCGTAGAAAGGTCCGTCAGGATGCAAGTGATCGTTATACTCTTCGGGATTGTGAGGACAGTAATGACGTCTGTAAAGTGAAAATTTCGAATTCATTAAAAGTGTAAATGGGAAATCAACTTAATTAATTGGTAAATATCCTCATGCATTTGTTATTATAATATCTGCTTCTCATAGTCATCAATAAAATTCTTGATTTTAATAAATAAACACAACTCAATTTTCACAAATATATTAATAAAGACTTTACAATTGTTTCGCCTCCTTGAGGCTTCTTCAGAAATATTACTTAAAACTACATTAACAATACGAACTTATACACAACTATGCGATTGAGTAGGGATTTGACAAAGAGGTTTAGTAAGGGTGAGCTATTAATTATTTCTACTGTTTCTAATAGAGAAAGTCGATAACTTTTAGTTTCTAGATGTAGAATTATAAAGTTTTCATTAAATTTATGGTTTTCATCATTAAGACGTTTTGCGTAATTCGAATCTAATTTTTTATTTTCAAAAGATTTCTTATGATCCTTGATTCTTTTTTCTTTGTAAAGTTTTTATTAATATATTTGTGGAAATTAATTTGTGTTTATTTATTAAGTGATCCTGAATTTCCATGAAGAAAACGTAGATAACCGTCAATCATTCTTGACTTCTTTGAAGTGAATATATTTTAAATTTTTACAGATTCGAATTTATTTGTTTAAGATTCTATTAATATTTAATACAACAAATAAATCCACAATGAAAGATGATTCTTCAATATTTCTTGTAGATGAAAATTATTAATTAGTAGCGGAAATCAAAGGAATCTTTTATAACTTTTAATAATGACGAAATAAATCATTACTGTATATTATATTAAGTACAAACGATTTTATTTACAATAGTTTATACCTTGTTACTGCAAAGAACAATATTTGGAGCACCACGATTTACTATGTTGAACGAGACATTATAAAATCAATATAACTGTATGTAAAAGGTAGTTAGAAATCGACTCAATGTCGGGTAAATAAATTATTAATAACTAATAAAGTGCGAATACCGTTAAGTATCGGTATAAGAATTGCTGGTGCACTAAGTAAATCAAACAAAAATTCAATCAAATTACTTGAAGGGAAAGGGTGAAAAGTTAATAGTGAAGCAACCGTTGTCTTTCTTTGTGTTTGTCCTACTGCCCCAATTCATTTCAAGTCGTGTGCTTCAATAGGTCGATCGTTAAAAGCTTTACTTTTATTGTTCGGTATTATTTCCTTCATGTCTATGAGTAATAATAGACTAAATCATAGGTTGTGAATACATGAAGCAATGTGCCCCCAAAAATTTTTTTCGAAACAGCTAATGAGGGCTGCTTATAACTGTGAAATGAACTTTAGATTATATTAGGGCTTTATAGTAATATCATAGATTACTAATCATAACAATCCACATGCTTGTACTTTTTTAAAAAAGGCGGATATGAATTTATATATTTTTATTCTTAATATTATTGGGTAATTAGGTTTTACCCGCGGCTTCGCTCACGTTGATTCCCTACATACATGTCAATGACCACATAAAACTAGTTTTTCTTTCTCTCGGGAACAGTATTATTTTTCTGGATAAAAGGTACCCTATGTCCTTTGCTGTACCCCTGACAATGTGTGTACAAAATTTCATGATGATCGATTGAGTAGTTAAGGATGTTTGGGAGGTATGTCAAAATGTTACGAGACAAATAAAAATTTGGAAGAACGTTCCTCATTCAATTCTAAAGCTCCTGTAAAAATTACAAATCGATTCACTAAACCGTTAAAAAGTTATTGAAATTTTACAAAATTGTAATTTTACACGTCATTTTATGGAGATTCGTTAACCGAACAGATTAAATTTATTTTTATTAACCGAAAAAAAGCTATCAGAAATTTCAAACTTTTGTAATAAGTAACTTGAACTCTGGAGAATCACTTTAGCGTAAGGTTATTCAAATTCACTAAATGGTTATCGAGGAAAAAATGAAAAATTAGCTGAAAATCTCGTTTTTACTTGATAATATAATGATAATATTTATAATTGTCTGAAATAAAGTTTTAATTATTATTTAAACATACTTAAAAGTTTTACGCTCAATATTAATAAAGATTGAATCTAAATTTTTTTTTTGTTTCGAAGTTGAAATCAAGGCATATTCACTACCAAAAGTCAGTTAAAAATTTTCCATATTATTCGTTATTTCTTATTTTATTCAAAGTTTTTGGTCAAATTCCAAATTTTCTCTCAAACCATATACTTTTTTTTTTAGTATAGATAGTATTTATTTACCACATGATATGCTGCAAAACCTAATTAATCACGAATTCCTAATTTTATGTACTCTTGTCTCCGATTGTACCTCCCAAACATCATTAAGGTGCGAAACGGTAATAAACAAACTTACATTCCCATTTAGATTAGTTAGGATAGCAGTACTATAAACATGTGCATGTATCAACTGTAGTTGTTTTTACACTTAATGAAAAAAATTAAGTACTATGGGATTTCAAAATTAAAGAAAATAATATTTTTTGGAGTACCTTCAATTCGCTTCAAATAAATTTCGTGCCGGTCATTTGCTAGTAAAATATTTGCCGATTTATGAAATATAAATACGAATACGATATTTTTTTGAAAACTTTGTCAAAATCTATTAAAAAGTATTATATGAAAAAATGTTAAAAGCAGCAGATGTGAAAAATTGGAAGACGATTGCATTTAAAGACAAAAGAGATATTTTTAACATTGTCATTTATTTGTTTAGTCAGCAGATTTTTAACATTGTGTCGTAGAAATATCCTAAAACCAAGTGTTACGTTAACATATGCGGTTGAAACTTAAGTTCCACCCTGCGCCTTTAACGTGGGCTCTGAACCGAAAGAAACAAGAAAGTAAGAGTGTATGTAATACAAGAACTTGTTTGCCTAAGCAAAACAATATGCTATATAACGATAAGTATTGCGAAGTACGTTCGGAGAAAGTTTTCAAAAGGAAGCTGTGTAGGTTTGGAATTGCTTCGAAAATGTCAACCACACTCATACTTCTTTTATCACATCATTTTCTTTCTTTTTGCTTCTTTTAAAAACGATTGTGATATTTATACGTGTAAGTAATTCTTGTAATAGGTAAGTAAAAGTAAGGATCGGTAGAGTGACTAATTTGTAGCTAATTTTTAGTAAACTTATAGTGGCTGAAACGAATACAGAGTGTATCAGAAATAAATGCCGAACTTACAGGAGGTGATAGAGGTCTATAAAACACGAAAATTAAGTAAGTGTTTGCATGTCCGAAAGCTCACCGTTTTCGAGAAAAACGTAGTTGAATGTACAAATAAATTCAATTCCGGTCCTGGTAGAGAAATACAGCCCGCAACGCTGCACTCACTCAGTTGGTGATTACCAGCATCGGTGTAGTATTTATTTTGTATTTTTTTTTGTTCATATATTATTTATTTGTTAGATTAGATTAAGTGCGATTCAAGGTGTTTTTGTTAACACTCAAACTCTAGTAGTCGTTTATTCTTTTAATGTTTAAAGTTTAAAATTTCTATGAGGCAATCCATATGCAGTTCAAAAAACTAATTTAGCAATAAAACATCAATCATTAATGTGGGTTAGTCACTATAGAACAGTTGTTACATTGATGTGACTCGATACATAGTTACGGGTTTGAACTATTTCGCCACTGTAGAGGCGAAATCCTTGATTTCAAAGAAAACAACCTCCAAAATAGTATACGCGAAATATCAACGTTGCCTCCTCTCATGTGACAGTGTGGCGAATTTTAAAGGAACAGTTGCTGCATCTTTATCATTTGCAGCGAGTTCAAGTCTTGCTTGAAACTAATTTTCAACCGCGAGTGGATTTGTGTCGGTGGTTTCTTAAAAGTGCTGCGTAGCCTAATTTTTTCAATATAAGGATGTTGTTTACAGACAGATTTTGAATTTTCACAATAATCACTGTGTAGCCAATTCACACACAGGATCGGCTTTCGATGCTAAATTGTTGTGATTTTCTTAAAATTTTTACTGAATTGTACGATTATTTATTGCACCTAGTTCACATTCTCCAAAGCTCGACACTTATTTCTGTTATATCCTGTATAATAGGTACATATGCGTTGTCCTAGTATGATATCAAGCTCTATTAGAAGATCGTTGGATTTTCCGGAATCTACAAGCCCAACAACGTTAATTTTTTCACTAAAAAATATGAAATACCGTATTATACTATAAATACTAGAGCTCATTTTTAAGGTTCTTTCAAGCACTACAAATAGATATATTTGAGATTTTTCTAAAAATGCGTCGTTTCTCCGTCTTTTAACGTCGAATGGTTCACATTCAGTTTTTGGCAATCAGTCATCTTTATCGATTCATATCTCTAGTTCTATTTAGTGTACAGAAACAAAAGAAAAAAACATTCGTGAAAAATCCTACCAAAATATGCAAAAAACAATAATTTCAATTGCGAATAATTCGAAAGCATTGATTTATATAAAAATATGTATAGAACATTTTTTGCTTAGAATTCATCCCGCTGTCCATTTCTACAATTATTTTAAGGGTGCCTTCATTTCTTAGAAGTGGTGGCAATTGCCCCTAGGGTAAAAGCACACATCAGCAGTATATAACTTCTGGTTTTTGAGCTTTTTCCTACCTACTCTCTAAATTTCACGTTAGATTTTGGAGCCAAAAACCGTCATTCTCTGGACTATTTTTGTTATCTAAGCTTTTCAAAGTCTTATTTTGTGCAACAAAAAAATCAACATTTTGAAATTTAATTGTCGTTTATTAAAATCAAAAAATAAACGGCATCTACTGCCAAAAGGAGAAACAAAATTCTATATAACAAAAATCTCAATCCAAGTAATTGGTACAATCAATGCGATTTCTGACATTGTTTTTGTTTTCATACTGTACAACAGTAAGAAGAAATCCAGCACATATACGTTATTCAGTTACAGATGCATGGTTTATTTTTACAAAATTAAGATTTGAAAAATTTTTTGCAAACATACATATGTTGGTCCAAAGGTGCTTGAAAATTGAAAGATT